GTAGCATCCCCACGCTGATGGCCTTTGACAGCCTACGTGTTACGCTTACTCACCTAGTACAAAGAGCACAAACCTTTCACGTAAGGAGCACTTCACCCTGCTCAACTCCATGCATCACAAAGCACATTTGGTACTATAAGCCCCATTGTCTCAACTGTTTCTGAATAAGCGCTCTGTAGTGAACAGCTGCTCGTTTTTTTCTGGGTACACTTTTATTACGGATGAGCCTTACAGTTTTCGGTAAGCTGTCTTCAGCAGTTTAGGAAGCAAATTCGAGCCTAAAGCCAGTACTTGAAGCATTTTAGTGAATATCCTACTGTCTAATTCTTCACTGGTTCAGTGCCACTTGGATCACAAGTGCATTAGAACATACCTCAGCCCACACTGTATTCTGTCTTATTTATACCTCTGAATAATGACCTATATTTACCTATAAGGGGTAGGTGCATCATTCTTTACGCTAAAGGGTCATACAAGGCGCCATCTGCAACTGATGGTCGTACGTTGTCTAAAAACATTGATAGCAACCACTACGAATATTTTTAGTGCAGTGCTTTCAAAGTTATCAACTTCCATTGTGGTTTGTGTCGAGCAGTGGAAAGTGACCAGTGTCATTTGGTTGAACTACATTTAGTAAGACTATTTGCTGCTTCTACTCACGCTGTGTTTAACACTAGAAACGAGCCGTCTATGCCATCACTTTACAATGCTTTCATTGTGATAGATATATATTCTAAAAGCAATACATTAGTGAGTTACAAAGATTTTCCCAGCACAAGGTAGCTCTCCTGACACGAGATCACAAACAGCAAATATTGAATCCAAGATGACTTCACCTTCGCTTAGATGCAACTCAATCCACACAAGTAAATAATGACTAAAACAACTCATTCGATTACGTTGTTGACGCTTTGTCGGTGATGTATTCAAGCAGCATTTAGTCGACCTCTGTTCGGGATACGGGCAGTTTATTGCATTTACTACATCCGTGAGTAGCCCCTAAATAGCGTCGTTACGTAGTGACATGAAACAAACGTACAATAAACGGCCATTAACGGTTGTGTAACAGATTCTCACTCTGTTGCCTAAGACACCAACAGCTTGATGACCTGAGTTCAGTTAACTAGTTTTGCTGTTCTATAGTCTAAATCCACATCGGCTGGCAAGCTTTGAGTAAGCGCTCTCATGTGCCTCATTAGTTCACACCCACTGTAACCCAGCAAATATAGTTCAAATGTCAGACCCTGTTTAGGTTCTGAGAATAACAGTCTGTCAGCTATACGATTAACAATTAAAGTTGTTAGATCTACAACACTTAACTTTGTAAAAATTTACAGGCTGTTCAGGTAAATTGTTACGTAGGAGTATTAATCTTAAATCCTACGCTATCAAGCAATATATTAAATGCTATGGTATGAAGTTGGCAAGAATGTAGCACACAGAAACTTGTGTGCTATTTCTCAGCTTTAGCAAGTATACACTGCGAAATTGTATATGCCTCTCTCCACCAAATGGTCAACTTGCATGGTACGAAATATCTAACAAAATTTTAGGAGTACGGTTGTCCATTCAAGTATGCTTACTAAGCCAGGCAATAAGTAAAAATGCTCCGTTCTGCTTGCTTTGCAACATATTCAAATAGTTTACATACCTATCCTGCCCTATTGGTTTTGTCCGAGCCGTAGCTTAGACACAATTTAAATAGGCTAACTAAACAATGTATCTCAGCTCCTTCTGTGGAGGACGACATACTTTATACCATCCATTCTATGAAGGTCTCCGGTGAGTCGCTCAATGAATGCTCGTACTTTTCATATATCAGACACATTGACCTTTATGTACATAGATTGCGGTAAATGGGTAAAACCCAAAAGAAATATAGTGGACTCCGTGTACTTCATGATTGTTTATGGCTTGATGACTTTGCCATGCAGCTCCTTGAGCTATGCAAGGAAGCTGGATGATCACCCCAAGGTTTTTCCGCTAAAAGTAAGTTAGCAATATGAAGAATTATGTTGCCGCATCATCATGCGGACCTCGCGTCTTAAAAGGAAAACATTCAATGATTCTGTCCAGAAGACCAGGTAAGGATGAAACAAGCTGCTGCTGAACTGCGGACCTGCCGAGTCAGTGGTGAAGTTGACCTTCATATTCTGGATATTTGTGTGGTTCAGTAGACACCAAAAATTTGACGATGGTTTGTCTCTGTCGCACCTGGGTCTAGGACATAAGGTTGAATTACGTGTACTATCCATCAGTGTGCGTAGTCTTTGAAATAAAGTAAAAGCTATTCATCTTTTAACTTCACAATATCGTGCTGAGCTGCTACCTTTTACTGAGCTCTAATTGTTTTCGGATATTTACGTAGCTAAGACACACCTTCCAGTCCATCAGTTTTCAAGTTGCTTGTTTTGGCCTCAGGGTTGACGGTGGTGTTATGTTTTACTGGAACACATGGTTGAAGGCGTATTCTGCAACTCCTATTTATGATACAGACGGGGCTTTGGTAATAGTTTGGTGCTGTGTCAACAACGGCCACAATTCATGCAAGCTTGTTTTTGTCGGTAAATTCCCACTTAGTTTTTGATCCCAGCATTAGAATCTTTTAGAATGCACGGCGGAGACAACTAATACTTACTTATGACTGAATTCAGCCCCAAGACTCGACTAAGACTTCCTTTACTGTGGTCACGCCCCAGCTTCCACCCATGCGGTTCTGCTCAAAACTATCCGCGCACTAAATCCAGCAACATCTCTAGTCATCTACTCTTAGAAATTTAAACCAGTTACCGCACGTATCTGTCCTTGTGCTTATAGCTAAAACACCTGGTGTCAGGTGTACACTAGGTACAAGATGACCTACAATCTACCACCAGAGGGCACTTAGCCGGAAATACTGTCGTGCTGATCCGATCCACATACAAATAGCCGCAAATGCTATGGACAAGCGCAATCCAAAGAATTTGTATAACCGTACTGGTTTGCATCGCCCATCATTCAAAGGGTTGTCTGTTGCCCACGACGTTGTGTCAACCTTTGCCAATAATGCTATTTCCAAAAGCCATTTATTGATTAAGTAAGAACTGAGGTTTTGCTTGCATAACTAAGGAAAACTCAGATAAGTTCAAGTTGTTACGCTAGGCGACTGTTTATTTCGATAACGAAGTGATTCGAAAAATTTGTTCAATTATAAACACATGTAGGGAGAGCAGTATGAGCGTCATTTTGTTGAAAATTCCTGAGGTGGACGGTAAAAACCATTCTCATACTGGAAACGAAGCATCAAAACGGGTTGCAGCATACCAGTTTGGTATTCTTAATAGAATGATGCTATACCGCATGACGACGATCTAAAAGCGTACGTTTTGACATTAGGGCTTTCATCAGTATACTTGGCTTGGGTCACACTAACTAGTCAGCGTGTACACACAGGCTACGGTTCTGAATATCCATTCAACCCAAAACTAAGACTTTACAAATTGAATCCAAACGCATCGTCAGTCACTGGTAATTTTTATCCATTGCATCTCATGACAGTGGTTGAATTTATAGCCAAGCCAATATGCCAATGGTTTTGATGTTTCCCCGAGGCTGGTTAAATGTGCTTGATTAGAAAGTAGTCCCGTTGTAGCCTAGCCACAAAGGAGGAAACCGGCAGGATCCTGGGAACTACCAGCCGACTAGCCAGGCGTTGAGTGTTTGCAAAGTCGGGGGCTCTTCAGCTTCCTTTAGAGGCTTTAGATATCATTATTCCTACCCAGCACCATTTTGTTGAGACTCTATTATCACCAAGTTGTTTGTTACTTGTGAGAAGCTGATAAACTCAATGAATACCGGCAACTGCCTTGATGATACTTTTGATGATTATAACAAGTCATTTGATAGAGGTGCACATAAACGACTCTATCAAGCTGCGGTAGATTGGCTACACCAAATCGTCTCTGTCCCATATTGCTCATATTCAAGCTGACTATGTAACAAAGGTAAACATTAATTAGATGCCCACTGGCTCTATTCTCATGACTACCGGAGTTCCACAGGACTACTTCCTTGGTCTTGAACATTTTAAACTTTTCATCAGCAAAATTCCAGATGCGTTAAATTGACTGTAATGTTTGCACCAATGTTCTCAAACCGTGGTCATAGGAACTTATGCTTGTAGCCCGTGACAGAGTACAAATGACACTGAATGATTAGTTTATATACTAGCAATTGCCTATCAGTCGCGATTACGCTGTGTTCTCACGGTTGGTGGTCCGCAACATTTCAGCGCCTAAAATATTAGTGCTTTTCTGTTGAACAATGCGACTTTGAGAAGACCCACTTTGTAATTACATTATAGAACCTGAGAACAATTCAAGACACGTTGCGAAAACTCAGCTCTGCCAACGTGCTGCTCTGGGCCCTACAAATATCCTTCTTAACTATGACACCGGTGATCTTCATTAAGTTTGAGCGTGCTTTTATGGAGAAATCGCAGAAATGAACATCAAGGTCCAAGTTGTTGCTGCGTGGTTTCTCTAATAAAGTACAGCTAAGGAACTTATTCATTCTAGAATACCGTCCTCTTCATGATGATTTGATTTACATTAGCTGCATAAATGAGGGGCGAATTTGAGAAGGAGCCGCGACTGTTATCCTGTCTCAATGCATAAAGCTTGACACCAACTCGAATTTGGCCATTTGTAAACCAAAAATAATTAGGGTATATGCGTTTATTATGTTACCCCACCTAGTCATGAATGAATGGAATTATCTCCAAAAATAGGTCATCAGCGGTAGCATAACCACTTACTCAGCATTCATGGATTCTGCCCCCTTCGAATCATCTGTAACGATTCCCCGGGAAACACATTTTAATCACGAGGCATAGTCCAACTAATAAACTGGAGCTGGTGTGACTAACAACATATACTTGCTTCCTACAAGTTGGTTAAGATATGAATATGTATTTTTCATTTTACGTATATATGTATGCAAACAATGATTGCCGAAACTACCTGCGCACATCTACACAGGCTCCTTGGATCCAGGAAGGAAAATGTATAAAGGGTAAGCACACGCGGAAGCACTCGTGTGAAATCTACATTATAAGCAGGGACCTTCTTGCGCAGAATATCTTCAAAATATTCGATTTGCTTTTTTGTGCATAGTGGAATAAGATCACATATAACGCGCTTTCTTTGGTACTCTGACCATTTACTGAACTTTTTTTTGGTAAATATCGGCATAAATTTTTCTCACCCATGAAACAATCAACGTACGCCTGTCCTCAAAAACCTTAATTGTGCAATGAACAAACCCAGTGAAATACCTTCGAATTTAGAAGGGGGTCACGAAGAGGTGTCCAGGAACTTTTTACAAATTTTGTTTTTAATTCCCCATCGGCTTTAGACATTTGGCGACTTTCATGACACTTGAATCACCGCCGTATACATTAGAAGCGAGTAACGGTATTTTTATCAGTTAAAACAGACGCATTTTTATCAACGTTACAATATGGCAATGTCGATATCAACCTATAATTACAATGTGATGTAAAATCTCAACAGTACAATGCGTTATATGCCTCCGTTCAGTTCATTGGGTTGTGGAATGGTTGAGGGAAATCCCTTGTCAACCCCATCGATTCCTTCTCATACTGGGTTTGATAGGCGTCATTGCATTACGACGTTCCTCGAGAGTTCGTTTTAATTGCAGTGACAGTCACAACATTCCAGCATTCTCAGCGAATGTTTGTCTAGCAGCCGCTTGAAACTTTCCTCGAATGGCGCGATCTCAACTCCTTGCTGATGCCGATCCAATCGGTTAAAACTCTAGTGGATAGGGTAACGTCCGGGTGAATGCTTCGCTTAAATAGTTTCCACATGTGTCCACATGCGGAACAGTAAGTGTTGGGCCGGAAGGTTTGTATAACCCACTCCCAAGTTCCCCTCGTATGATGCGCCTAGTGTAGATGACCTCACCCTAGTGAACGGGGAGCACGAGGGAGAACCGATTTAGCTGCTGAGGTCAGCGGCATTACGGGCGATCACCGAGCCCCAGTACAGTTTTCCATGCGCCTTCCTGAACCTTTTCCATCAGAGCGCATTCAAACATTGAAAGCGGATGGATAGCTGGTAGGCCACATCCTAAACATGGACAGACGTACGAGGTGAACAAAGTCGGGGAAGCTCAGGAGTCATTCGAGAGCAAGACTTTCTTAAGGCGCCCATCAGTCACCTTCTAGTGGCTACCTTCTTCAAAGTGTCCCGCGTCGTTCTGCTGTCAGAATTCACGTTTAACCCGGGAACGCTCTCGTGAGTGGTATTCCTGAGGAGGAACCAACCAATGTGGTATGCATCCTACGGTTCAGTACTACCCACTGGGAGAAAAGCGCATTTATCCCATTTTGCTGGCAATTCCCACTTGATGGACAATTCGTGTAGCTGGGCTGGGGCCAATTGTTATCTGCCCGCAGCTTCAAGGCTGGGTACTGTTGACCATAGCTTGAGGTCATCGGTGTAGATCAAGCAGTCGGTTGGAAGTGGAGTTAGCAGATCGGTAATGTACAGTTTGAAGCGCCCTGGTCCATGCCATGGTCCTTGGGGAATGTCACTAGTCCTAGGCGCAAGAGCAGCGAGAGTTTGTTTTACTCGTACCCGCATTGTCACACCCCTTACGAAATAGAAATCCAGAAGGGAAGAGTTCTTACACTGCCAATTTTCTGTAGTTTGTGTAGTAATCGCTCTCTAGAAATTTATCAGAGGCTTTAATGAAGTCAATGGATATTACGTCAACTAGGTTACGGACACCTATGGCTTTTGCTCATGTTTCCCTGGCGATGTGTATGTTAGGAATGTATGAGCCTGTCCTCCGCAAGCTTTGTTGAGCGGATGAGATGTTGCTACCATCACACAGTGTAACTGGCGAAAGTGTTTGACTATTCGTTCCATGCCTTTGCATACGACTGATGCCAGGCATATTGGCCGGTAGTTCGCTGGGTCTTGTTTGTTTCCCTCTTTCTACATGGGCAGGGGGTACCTGCTTTCCAGCCTGTGGGTAGGCGGCTGACTTCGTCGGATTTCCAAAATACATGGCAGAGAGGGGCGGCGAGTACTCGGCTATCGTTTTGAGGAAGCTGGGATGCAATCCATCCGGGTCTGGGGAGGAGTTCGGGTCCAGTACGAGGGGTAGCTTAGTCACCACCCCGGGGTTAATTTTAACTTGGTCCATAGCGGAGTAGTATGCAGGGAAACAGTTGTTGAGCAATGGACATTCCACTGAGTAGACCGCGGAATAATGCGCAGCCAGTAAGTTTGTTTTTCCTCAGCACCGTAGAGAACGGTACCACACCTAGAAGCGAATAGAGCGAGGATTTCACTACCCGTTTTGGCATTTCGCTTCAGGTAGACAAAAATTGTTTGGGACCGCTTTGGGTTCTATGGCCAGTCCATGTTCATTTGGTATCCCTTTTTCCCGTTTGCGCAGGGTGCATAGGTTTCTGACAGTTTTGTATTCTAAGTAGCTTGATGTCAGTCCTGTGCTCTTGTAATGGTCCCATAGTTTCCGCCGCTTCTTCATTAGGGAGCTTACTTCTTTATCAATCCATGAGGGCTTCGGCGATCTAACGGTTCTAGTCACTGCCGACTGAACGCTTTTTTACCATCACCCCAAGAACGTTGCTGGTCGTGACTAATCGTTATCATCATATCCCCTCTCATCCTTAACGTGCCCATTTCTGCCGATTCTCTCCGACAAAATTCATAGCTTACTATTACGCATTTCTTCTTATAAGCCGACTTTCTAGTCTGGTCTGAATGACCCACTTTCCGACTTCTGCCACCCTAATGATCAGAGGTCGGCAAACTCAATGGTCTGTTCATACCACGTCGGGAATATCGCTGACTTTTCCACTCATCAATGAAAACTTTTCCTTTTCTCATTTTGTTTGCATTCCTTTTTCCACTGGTCAGGCAACTCTCCGGATCTGGCACTACTCTAGCGGCGTCTGACCAGCCTCCTGCTTTCTGACTACTTCCTTACATTCCAAACGTTAACGATCTAGGCTTTGTTGTCCTGGTGCTCTGTCCCCCTTATCCTGAGACCGTTCCTCGACAAGCAACCGCCTTTTCATAAAGCCACTTGCTTCCCAAACTGCTTTTCTGATGACACTCATTACTTTATTCCCACCTTACTTTGGAGGCCTAGCTTCAGCTTGCTGACTTACCCGGGTTTGACTGTACGCTCTCCTGTCTTCTGACATCGCTCGGACTTCTGTGATCTAATGATCTAGACTCTGCCGACGATAGTGTTACCCTCACCGCAAGACCACCGCTGGTCATGATTGCTTCCTATTATCATGTCCCCTTTTTCCTTAACACGTACATTTCTGTTGATGCTGTCTGTCAGCACTTAGACTTTACTAATACGACTTTCACCCTACGAGCTAACATTCTGGGCTCGTCTTAACGATCTCGTACCTTCCGACTTCCGTGACCATAATGAACAGAAAGCGGCAGCTCCAACGGACTGCGCACAGCACCTGGAGCATATCGTTGGCTTTCTTTTTAAATAAATAAATAAATAAATCTTTTATTCTCAACAAGGTGAGGCACGCCTTTACAGGCATGATCAGTTTGAGATAACGATGCATGGTCAAAAATGTGCAAATATCCGATATGTTTGCCATAGCAGTTTGTGTTTGTGTATGGGGCGTGTATTTATGTCATTGTGTGTGTATGTGTATGTAGCTGTGTATTTTGTGCTTGTAGTTGTGCTGCTCCAATCTTCAATGCTTGATATCGTCATCAATATGCGAGTAAGAGATTGGTGTCCGTGGGTTTGATAGAATTATCCGGATATCCACGGGGCAGTGACTTTATTTTGTGGCGAGTCACGACCGCCACGTCACAGTGTTGTTAAGCAGACATTTGTGGCTTTTTATAGGGAGAACGCTTGCCAGGCGAAACCCACCACGTCCTGGAACACTGCCGCCGAACTATTTGCTGGAACGGGTTAAACCCGAACCACCCAGCTGGCACCACGAGGAGGTTGTTCGGCTAGCCATATAGCCCTTTTTCACACTCTAGTCTGACTTATCTGGTTCTGGCTGTACGGCCTCCTGCCTTCCGACCTCTCTCGGACTTCTGAGTTCTAAATGATCTAGTCTCTGCAGACGCAATGCTCTGCCTCCCCCGCCTCCAGAGCACTGCTGCCCATGATTCATCACTAGTATATCCGCTTTTATCTTTAACACTTCTATCCTGTTGACGCTCTGTTAACTTTCTGACATTTATAATACGGCTTTCTCTCCATGAGCCGATATCCTCCTCTCATCTCCATACTCTCCTGCTTTCCGAATATTGAGCCCATACTTTTGAACCATCGACAGGTCCAAAGGTCTGTTATTGATCATGCCTTGCTTGGTGTGTCTCGACAAATTCGAGAATAAACTAGTTATTTATTTATTTATTAATAGATCTTTGTAGGCTCTTCCACTTCCCCCTAAGTGTCTCCTTCACGATTACATTCTTGCATTTTCGCGCTCTGTCTGCCTTCCTTTATCCATTGGACGGATAACACTTCGGGCCTGGCTCCACTCTAGCCTCGTCTGACTAGTCTCCTACTTTCTGACTGTTTCCAGAAATCAGAGACGCACGTGTTCTAGGCTGTGCAGTCACAACGCAACCTGTCCCTCAGCCTAAGAGCTTCGTTTGATATGCTAACGGGCTTTTTATATAGCCCCTGTAGTCCCGCAAATTTTCTTTCTCATGACATTCACTACTGTTATCCCCACTTTAATCTGACTGCCTAGCTTCATCTTGCTGACTTATCCATTCTCATCTAAACGCTCTTTTGCTTTCTGACCCCTCCCCAAACACTTTTGCTTCATCTTCAATCTTTCATTCTTTACTGATCCGTGTTCTGCTCCATTCTCGTCGCATTTCGCCACTTATGATACACGTGTATATGCGATACTTAAATAACAATTACATGCTTAGGGGTACAATAGTTCAGGCATCGCAGCAATTGATTGACTGCATTCCAGATGCACTTATTTCTTCTGTCTCTGTGGCTGTCACTGTTCGTTTCCTTTTTCTCCCGAGTCTGTCACAGGTACGGCGACACGTACCCAAGGAATTGTCCTCCGTTTTGACAACAATACAGGGCACACAGTTCCTTTACCTGGACATGAGCGGAAAATTATCAACTTTTTACAACTTACTAACCGGACAAATCAATCAATATCTTGCACTGATACAATTCTTCCGCGGCATGAACCACTGAGTTCAATTTACCTAACAATACCTCTTCCACATATCTCTTGACTTGTGGTCTTTCGACTACGGAAGGCACATACTCCTGCCAATACAAAGCTTTAACAATCAGTCATTCTAAGCTCTTCAATCCGCTTTGACTGCTCAAATGGCCGTGGTTTCCCCTATCTCTAATCAATTTCAATACATACCCTGGGGA